GTAATCTAATTACCGTTTTTGCAATAGTAATCCCCTTACTTTACTCGTTACTTGAAAAAAAGCAATCAGATTACAGTAACGCGTTACAAATGGGCAGTAACGCTTTACAAGTAACGCGTTACTGCCCATCTCTGGTGGCCACCTTGCCTCAGTTTTATTCTTTAAACCAAAGTTATTCTTGCTGTTGTACAATTCCACTCAAAGTCTTTCCCACTGAATGTCTTATACAATGTGAACCTTTACTTAAATGCGTTCAGTTTTATGTATGGTGAGATTGTGTATAGGCTACTTAATAAAGAAAAAAGTCTTGGATTATGTAGTATAAGTTCTACCATCAGAATCTTTATTTCCTATACAGTATCAAACATGTGCATTCAATGACTTCGTGATATTGCCCAAATTCTTCCTCTTTTTTTTTTTACTACAGATATATTTTTGTTGTATTTAATGAAGTAGTTGTGTTTCTAAGAAATTTAGCATTTTTAAAAAAAAGCATTGCCCTCTAAAATATACAATAGCGCAGTAGCATTGTGAAGTAATAAAAATTTCAAATGTAGCACAAGTACCTCAGAACTACAGTTGAAAACAGAAGTAGAAGTCAACAAAGAGCAGTAAACTGAGGCTACAGTGACTAATCGTAAATGCAAGTGGGTGACACCTTTTTGCCATTTAGGAGTGTTAAGATATATTTGTACATATATGTGTACAAATATGACATAATAATGCTGAGGAATTATTGTGTGAAACTTTTTAATGGGGTGGCATGGTGGAACAGTGGTTGGCATTGCTGTCTCACATCAAGAAAGTCCAGGGTTTGAATCCAGGCTGGGGCCTTTCTGTGTAAAATTTGCATGTCATCCATGTGTTTGCATGGCTTCAATCCAGTGATATGTATGGGGGAAGATTAATTGGTGATTCTGAATTGGGCAAAGGTGTAATTGTGAGCATGAACAGCTGTCCACCTTTCTGGGTTAGAACTACAACAGCCTGGTGACCTGTACAGGTTCTACCCTGCCTCTTGCTCCATGTCAGCTGGGATGGGCTCTCGCTCAGGTGTCCCTGAAGAAAAGTGGAAGGCAATTGATGTGTAAGCACAAAATTATACATTCTCTAATTCAAACCAACAACAGCTGTCAAATCAATGTAGTTAAGTAAAGAAATAAAAAAAAA